GACAATAAATCCACAACAAAATGAACCTTCAATCATGGCTCGTTTCAATGAGTATGTAAATGGCAACCTACCAATCAATGGTCGTCGATGGATAGAGTGCAACTATTTTCACATTCAGTCAACACTTGGTATCTTTATTACATTAATTAGCATGAATGGAAATTCCAAATCTATGATTGTAGCAACGATGAACATACAGAACAACAAATCAGAGCAGATGTGCACATAGTATATACTTATGTTGATAAATTATTATCATGTCCAACATTTTTGTTCGATAGACAAGATTTGAGCAGACATACAAATAGGAAACTGCAACTGTACATCATACTTTATTTATCTTGTGCAAACAACGGGTAAACATTAAAATACTATTTACGTATCTCTATTTCATTTCGTTTCATATCTATAATACTATCTTTACCTAACAAAAACCATTTTTTTTTACAGGCCAAACTGCATATTATTCATACTCAAATTTATAGAATGTTTCATTTTGGACTTCCCATTAGAAACAGTTGACTCAAAGAGGATGAATATATACAGACGGAAGCTTGCAACTGATATTTGTATGAATAAATATTTCTTGCACCCCCGATGATCATAATATATTGAATCATTCAAAACAAGGTACTCATAAATATTTTCTTTTAATTATGTATACTATTTCTATGTTTTCATTCATATAAACCTTGTTCTTTCAATTTCTGTTTACATATAACAATTCCTTCCCTGTACATTTGTTCAATTAATTAGCATTTCCTAGAATTTTAGTAACTTCTTCAACCTAAAATTTTGGCCTAAATATCAATTGCTGTTCAAAACAGAAACCATCTAGCTAAAAATTACTTCTAATGCAAAACAAGAGAAGGCATATTCTACGGCTATACCTATCGATAAAAGAAATTGGTTTTGATCATTCCACGTACACTTCTCTTCATGTAAATCTGGAAATTCTTTCTACTAATTCACGTAATTGAATGTTAAGTATTTTAGTGAATAAAGAGGCTTAAAGAAGTAATTCTTCCTGTTAAGTCGCATAGTATTTGAGGATGTTGTGATGGGAAAATTGGATAGATTCTTGTTGTGACTTCAAATCAAACTCCAGATAAACTTATGAAGAGCGACTACAGAAGGGAGTGAAGTCATAAGTGGTCTCCAAATTGTTTATGCTTACAATCAGAAATATGTTTCATAGTTTAAAGAAATGTAATTGAACTCATCGAGGTGTTTTTTTTTTTTTTTGGCGCTTTTAACAATTATTGATACACGGGAAGAGCAAAGTGGAGCTTCTGTGAAGGTAGTGGAGAGATGGGGTAATCCGGATTCCTCCAAAAGCATGCTTGCTGCTTTAAACTTGAAGGAGACTTACACTCGCAGAAATTTTTGAGATCGACTTGGATAGACCGGGAACAAAAAATGCTATTGGCTTCCACATCTGTATGTGTTATTTAATATATTATTGACAACTAATTTTGTCAAAGTTTTTGAATTATAATATGGGCCTTGTTTTTTTAGGAATAATAATTTGTTCATTTTGATCACATTAATCTCATGGTGCTTCACCAGGAAAATATTATGTAAATTGTCTTTTTCATATTGGTTGAAGTTTGGCAAAATTATGTTTTTAAGGTTGTCACAGTTGCAAACGAACATC